GGACGGCGCTTTCCGGAGGACGTCTCCAGCTCCTGACTGCTCACCACCGATTACAGAATAGACAGCGACTTCTCCGGTGAAACTCCCGAGAGAACTCATTGTGAGGTAGATACGGCAGGACGCAGGCGTTCACGGAGGGGAAACCGGGTCGGCCACGGCGTCGAGGTCCTCGCACGATCTCGTCCAAAAGTTTCGGAAAAGAAAGATCCCGCCAGCGCCTTGCAGTCACAGCTGGAGCAGCTCGACCGAGCCGATTCTCGAAGAAACTCCGACTGGCTAAAGAACCGCACCGAATTCTCTCCGGAAAAAAGGTTCTCGTCCGCTTTCGGTCGAGACACTCGACGAAGACAGGGAGCGACAAAATGGGCTTCTTGCTTGAGTTTTTCAACGACAGTATGGTGACGTAGCACAACCCAATGAGTGTTCGTCGACGGAACGCCGGCTCGAGACACGAGCCTCGGACACGAACTTCTTTCACTTATTCTGAAGGCTAGAACACACCATGAGACACAACCATGTTACGCTTAGCGACACACGTTCGAAAGCAAATGATGTGGCAGATTACTCAACTCACTCGTCTCAGCGACACACAACTTTCGAGTGATCGATGTGAAGAAGAGCGCTCAAGTCCTATACTGGAGGGCGATTCCGCTCGCCCTCGCGGATGCTCGCTCGCAGCCTCGCCCCCTATGAGCCTCTATTCGCATGTTTGAGTGAAACCGCGATGCCGCCCCTTGTGAGAGGCGGGACAACGATGAAAGCATCGCAGCTCCTGTCGGGGAGCCTGATCCTGACAGCGGTGAATAGCTATGAGCATCCGATCACAAATAAATTCTTAAACTCCATGGAAGATGGCCGAACTTTTCTCTCGTGGAAACTCTGCGAAGACCGGAGCGACGTCGCGATCGGGGAGGAGAACATTATTCGCACGAAATCTTCGTCGAAAGGGCATATCGATTCTTCCGAGGGATATGTGAACGGACGACAGGTTGACTATCTGTGATTGTTCCCGTTGATTAACGCAATCGTCCCATAGGTCCGAGGGACCCTGACGGTTCTCATAATCCATCCTCTAACTTCGGCGAGAGCTTTTACTTCATTCGAGGGACCCGAGCTGCTGAAAAGAGTCACAAGTACGAGGCTCATGGAGCTCTGACGAAGGAGGACCCGCGTAGCAAATTCCGAATTAGAGCCCAGCTTCCATTCCATCCGTGTTACTTTTGAAATCAAGTGTTGTCTCGCCTATTCGGGTGGGTCATGTGGAGTGTGAACAGTAAGGAACAATAAACTTCATGAAGGGCCCGAGAAGTTGGTCGGAGACCAGGGTGGTTCCCAGTCCCCGGACTGGGCCTTCTCGCGGGTCCCCCGGACTGGGCCATCGTGCGGGTCCCCTGGACTAGGCTCCTCGCCTCCTTCTACTGAACTTCTCCATACATCATAATGGCGAGCCATCTCCGATCCCCGATCGTGACTCGTAAGAGACTTCGTGTGTGGATATATCAGATGCGCACATGCGAAGGTCTCTCACCCCTCTTTCCTCGGACTCAGATCCGACGCTCACGGAGAATCCATTCCGTCGCAGAACCCATTTCTGCCCGGCGCCCGTGTGACGACATTCGGGTCATGCGAGCTCTTGATAGGAGGGACGAGTATTCTATCATCGTGGGCTGCACAGTTTACCAGAAACGACTAGGGTCCATGCAACTTGAGAAGTCCATTCCTTGCAGGTCAGTGCACACTGAGATTTGTGCTCTGGAATCTCGGATGAATCGGAATTCGGAGCTCGAGTCTTCGAAGTTCCGTCTGGGGGAGGAGACACGGGCGATGGGAGGTAGAGCGATGCGGGCAGGAGGGTGATTTCGGTCATTAGTCGCAAAAGGAAGCGGAGCCAGCGCCATGACTGCTTCTCTCAGACATTTGTAGCCTGTCATGAGAGTCGTAAGGGATTTTCAAAACAAGGCCTCCGATTGCGTGCGTGAACCTCAATAAAAAATCATTGGTAATCAGACTGAGCAATACTTATTCAAGCCCTCAGCACCCGCAAGCCGGGAAGAATTTCATGCCCGTCTCGGAGGCAATCATCGTTCTCGGGCTTCGGACATGAAGGGCTCAATACCTGAAGCTCTTCCCGGTCGGAATCGCCCCGCGCGAAAATCGTGACTCCGTAAAATGACTTCATCGAATTCCGGAAGAAGCAGCGAAGTTGTCCATCGGCGGAATTTTCTCAGTACCGTTTCGTTCGTTCCAAGGATTTGATCGTCATGATATTCGCACTTTTGCTCTCGTTCCTCATGGCTTCCGGGACGAGTGCGGAGACCGAAAGGGGTGCCGCTGTCCACGCTCGATGCCAAGTACGATATATGGAAGCCAGAAGACTTCCGCGATGGTTACCCAGAGTCATACGAGTCTTTAGCGAATGCTCCCCTGAGCAAACAGGATTACGAGGCGAGATCTGGTATGATAATCGATGCGCTCTACAAACGAATAGCCAGATACGAATGCGAATCTGATATGCACCAAGGGCCCGAGTTCGCCGGAAGAACCGAAGACATCATCAAGTTTGTCTCCAATCAGATCGCAGACATTCCCGCAGCATAGCCGTGAATGGTGGCTGAGGCTGCGGGCTTTGCTTCGGACACTACCGAAGCGCGGCAGCGAACTGTTCAAGCCTTGAACCAGGAACAGCATGTGATTATCCCTAGCTGTCATCAGCAGGGACCGCGTTTTCATCTTCGGCGAAACTTCAAGGACGGTTTTTGAATCGACTTTTCACCGACTCGAATTTAATTTTGAATAAACTTGAATTCCCAGATTTGCACCATCTCCATGAGCGCTTGATAATCATGCGCGGAAGAATCGGCATTCCGGCACCGAGAACAGACAAGAAGTATTCTATCGACGTAATTCCTACCTCCGGGACGCCTCTCTCCTCCCAAGTCGTCCGTGAATTGAAGATGCTTTCCTATGAACGAAAGTCGGTGGCTCTCCTTTAGCTATCGGTCAGAGATTGAAGCTTGAATCGACTCAGAATTCTTGGGGCGGGGAGCGGGTCGTAGATAGAAAACACACCGAAAGTTTTCAGAAAGAACAGAGATCTACCTATCTATCTATCACCCGCCCGGTTGCGTCCGGAGGGTATAACCCACGAGCCGTGGTCCTGGGGTCGACAGCTGATTTGGGACGTGTCGACTAGAGACGCCTACGCCGCTTGTTATCGGCGGATTTCCCGAAACGCTCGGGCTGTGGTGGCAAGAGGAGAGGCCGACTAGGAAACCAAGCATGAGATGTTGCTTGGCTCTTGCTCCGTTCGTGATCGATACTGCGGGAGTCTGGGGTGAAGATGCTCTGAGACTGTTGAGGGGAATCGGCAAACGTATAGTCGCCAGGGGGGAGACAAACGTCCGATGTCGTTCATCCGTCAGCGCATCGCGATAGAGGTTGAGCGCGGCAACGCGAGGATCATCTCGGGCGGACTGCCCCAAAGTGTTGCCCTCAGAGAGCTCACCCTCCTGAGTGGCTGATTATTTATTAGGACACTCCATTCTCTTGTTAAATTCCCTACAATAAAAAGAAGTCTATCTACCTATTTATTAGACTGAGCTGCGCCTCGATCCCGGAGTCAGGATGGTGGCTCCAAGTTACTCCCAACAGACACATCGGAACCTTCCTGGATACCGAAGACTTCGTTCTTGCGGCTAAGCTGCGGCTAGAACTCGATGCATCGATCCCAGAATCCGGCTGGTGGCTTCAAACAATGCCTAGCAAGAACATCCCGCCCGCAAGCCCTCCCGGAGGATAATGACTCCATTCTGGCAGCGAAACTCCGAGTGGGGTTGCCCTTAAGGGAAGAAATCACTCGCGTTTGTGGAATTCGGGCTGACCGTTACGGACTTAACCGTCTGAATTGTGTCTCTTTGGCATCAGGACAGATGTCTCGTCACGCCGCAATTAAGGACTTGGTGGCTAGAGCGTTGAGACAGTCTGGTACTTCAAACACGAAAGAGCCTCCTGTTTGAAGCCTCGAACTTGTCAGCGAATGATATGCTGAGACCTGACGGTATTTCACATGAACCGTGGTCTCGAGGCTGACAACTGGTTTGGGATGTGACGATCAGAGATTCGTTTGCACCCAGCAACAGACAGATTGCCCGATCAGCGCGCGCAGTGGCGACCAAAGCCGAACAAGAGAAAAGGACAAAGTACCAAGAATTCCTTACCAGCTACTTTTTCGTCCCGTTCGCCATTGAATCGACCGGAGTGTGGGGCACTGACGCTCTAAATTTGGTGAAAGAAATAGGGCGCCGTATCTTGGCCCGTGGAGGCGACCGCCGAGCTGCTATGTAAACACGACAGCGAATCGCTGTAGAAGTACAGAGGGGAAACTCGAGGCTCATTTCGGGGATCGAGAACTGCCCAAGAGCGTTGAGAGAGCTCGATCTCCTGAACGGCTGATAGATCAGATCTAGCGATAGTAGTCTGGTCAATGAACGAGTACCTATCTGCCTTATTATTGTGTTGATAACAATAATTATTATTATCACTATACTAGTCATCATTATTATGATTATTATTCAAATAGTAATCATTATTAATTATTATTATTATTATTATTATTAAAATAATAATAATTATTATTATATTATTTTTAATAATGATTATTATTATTATTATATTATTGTTATTATTATCAATGATAATTATTATTATTATATTATTACTAACAATAATTATTTTTACTATTCTATTAGTTTTCATCAGGAAAGATAGTCCATCCCCACAACCCTCATTCACAATGCATACATCATCAGAACTAATAATTAAGCTGCCGCGTGAGGAGCATCAGGGACGCTCCAATGCGCCGGCGACAACTCTTCAACCGGTTCGTCGTAGATTGCTACGCTAATTGTGAGATGGAAGGAAAGCGCCTTCACGTACGGAGCTCAAATATCGATCTCTGATCGGGCCCGTGGTGGAGCACGGGTAGAATGCGCCAGTTTGAAAAAACTCCTTTATTTCATATCGATATCTCTTAAATCAACAGTCTCGTCGTGATGATCGTGACGAAATTCGCCGACCGCATCTGTCTCGACGTTTTTTAAAAATTCTCCCCCGTGGCTTCCAGAACTCCCACCCGTGGATCATGAGAGCCGATCTGGACACTACCACCATTGCATTCGTTGACAAGTTCACTTGGGAACGACTCGAAACGATCAGTGAGCGGGATGCTTGATCAAATTATCCTCATCGACGAACGCTCATTCGATTCCCTAGAGCGTCGACTCCTCCGATGTATTGTCCAACACTACCAAGTGAAGAAGGCTCCTATCCTACGTGAAGACTTGATTTTGATGAGCGATCGCGAGCAGAGTTTTGATTCCAGGCAAGAAAGCGCTCGTCTCGCTCATGTTCGATGTTTGAGCCACATATCCAAACACTTGCAAGGCATGATTGTAGTCCTGGCGGGTGATCGCATCGACGATGAGCTGAAGGGACTGCACAGTTGTGTCGGATAACTGCAAGCGAAGAGGGCGCTATTCTTCTCTTCGTCGGTATCAATAATTTCCCACATCGATCAATTCGGCGAACAGTGCAACAATCAAATTACAGCGATCTAGAGCTCACCGCGTATTGCCGCAGCTTGTCTCCAAGATGTTCGAGTTTCTTCTGCACATCGTCCATCTTTTTCTGTACCGTGACGTTCTGCACCCCGTGGCACGCCAGCCGAAGTCTTTCGAACGTGTTGAACAAGTGCTCGTACTCGGTAGGTATCGGTCCCTTTTCCACCGGGGGTGGCGGCTGTTTGTGGGCTGGCGCTGAAGTAGAAAATGGAATTCAGGACACGACTCATAGCACTTTGGGGGAGCACCTGAACGAATTCGGGGCAGCTTGCGGTCGAAAGCGGAGCTTACAATCATCAGAAAAATATGATACGTTATGAACGAGGGAGTTTCCGGCAGAGATGAGGGACATAATGTGCAGTATATAGGGTCCCGATATAAGATTCTTACGAGCTGGAACGTATTGTTGGACAGCGGGCTGCAGCGGTTCGAACTGTTGGACCTGCTGGAAACTTTGCTGTTGCGACGGACGAGCTGACGAACTATAGAATGAGTTTTCCGGGGCGGGGACAGGAGCGGCCGGAAGAGGAGTCATCAGATGCATCGATTCGGGAATGGCAGAAGGCGTCACGATGGGCTTCGAAGATCTTCGTATCGGAGGAGGATCGTTCCATCCGGGAGCTGAGTACCTCTCGTCACGAGTGTAATCGTTCCCAGCTGGCAAGTTCGCTGCAGCGATAGTAGGAGAGGCCGGCGCGGCCGGAGTAGCGAAACCAAACGTGTTGGACACCGGGCTCGCACCGTAGGCGGGAGTCGCTGGTTGCGAAGGATAGGGTTGGTACTGCGATTTGTTCGCGTAAGGGTCCTGATAAGCTTGCGATGCGTACGAGGAGTTGAAACCGTAGCCTGGGCCAGAGTTCTGGATCGACGGGTCAACAAGCGCGTGGTACTTTCCAGTCCGACTCATGGGTCTCGATGGAGCGTCTTTCGCTGCTAGCGGCGACTCTTGGACCGGGGGGAAGCTCGGTATGTTGGAGTTGTAGTCCGAGGTCGGCTGATTTTGAAACAGAGACGCGACAGGCTGAATCGTTGAGCGACCCGCATCGTAACTGGACGAGCTCAGGGTCCGACTTCTCTGGAGGTTCTGTTTCGAATACTGATTGTGCTGAGGACTTTGTTGGCTCGTTGTCAGGCCTTGGGACTGGAGGATCCTGTCTCGTAGCTGCGCGAGTTTGGCATCGCTCGTGTCCAAGTCGTTGAGGTAGTGAAGCGATACTCCCAAACAACCTTGCTCGGCTAGAAGACTCACGTAGTCACCGACGAAATTCGAAATTCCTTTCGGCAACTGCTGCAAGCCACTGACTACCTTAGCCGCCGTCATGATTTCCATGTAGGACTGGAGAGCTTCGTTGGTTTCGGGCTTTCCGTGTATCGCGAGGTAGCTCTCCGATAACTTGACGAGATCTCGAGCGATGGCATAGCTCATGGCTGCCGCTTCGAATTTAGATTCTTTGAATAACTTGTCCCCGACCGCGCTGCATAGATTGTGCGCTCGTTGCGAATCTCGAACGTGACCGACAACCGCCGCCAGCGTTGATTTCCACTCGTCCAACGGAGCCAGCTCAGTCAACTCCTCCCACAAGCCGGAAGAAACGCACGCAACCAAACGACACATCTGAAAAATATTAAGGTCAATCGATGCGTTGACTCCGGAGCCGGCTCGATCAAGGGGGGCTTCCGGGCTCATTCCGGTAGACAATCGATTCTTACCGAGTCTCCTCGATTCGCGTTCAGAAATTCCTTTCTAACGTTCTCCTTGAGCACGGGATTCTGCGCGTAGTCTGCCAGGAATAGAGCTTCGGCGAAACGTCTCGTTTTCAGACAAAGTTCGGCCGCTTGATTGACCTCGCCGGCAATGAGCACATTTGCGATCCGCGACGCTGAGGTCGAATCTTTACAGACGCCGTTCATTGAAACCGAATTGTCAAATGCATTGGAAAGGTCATCCTCCTCTTTCTCCTGAAAAAAAAATAGAGATGAGCTCTGCGCACGGACCGAGGCAGGGATCCATACAGGGCGATCAGATCTCCACTTGACTCGGGAAGCTCCGCTCACGTTCATGCTCGATGAGTAGCCGAGGAGTTTCTGGATCTCAGTCACTGGATCGGGACCCTGTAGAGCGTTCAAGATGCGCCAGAGATCAGGATCCGAGCCTTCGAATCGGAGCTGCCAGAACTTCGACTCGGCCTGTTGCTTGAAGAGCGCATCCTCCATACAGGTGACTCGCGATAGTAAGGTATCATCTGTGACTACTTGAGAGACGTCGACCTTGGCACCGAGCTCCTTCGAAAACGACACGAGCTTGCCTCCGAACTGGAAAGAGATCGTTGAACCCCATCAAATTGTTATCGCTCGAATCACAGCACTCGGGAGATAAAGAGGGCACTCGGGAACTAAAGAAAAATAGATCAATGGCTGGTTGGTCGGTGTGTCGGTCGGTCGGTTCCTTACCCCGAATTGTGCTCCAACCCCTCCACTCAGCCAGGACGGCGCTTTTCGGAGGACGTCCCCAGCTCCTGACTGCTCACCGCCGATAACAGAATAGACAGCGACTTCCCCGGTGAAACTCCCGAGAGAAACCAATGCAGGATTCCGTGGACACCACTGAACTTCGAAATTCCACTCGGACGTGCTCGTGAGCTCAGAGATCAATTCCGAACCTTGAGCCCCGTTGGGGTTCCAAATGCAAACCGAGCTACCCTTGCCACACGACACCAGCATGTCCTGGTCCTTCGGGTTCCAGTTGATTGAGAGAACTCCTTTCGAGTGCTTTTCCAGAGTTTTCACCGGCGACGAGGCGTATCGCAAGTCCCAGATCTGTAGCCACGGACAAGTGTCATCCTCGGACGCGAGACAGAGTTGCGTTGCGACCTGAGGATTCCACGCGACAGCTTTACATCGGAAACGGGACGAAGAGTCGGCGACTCGGATAATCGGTTCGCTTTTTCGCAAATCCCAAACGACACATCTCGAGGCCATCGTCGACGCCAGAATATGTTGGACCTGTCTGTTCCAGGCGAGCGAAACAACATCTTCGAGCGGTTGACTCGACGCTCCGGGCGAATAGGGCTGCGCGGTAGTGCTGCTCAGATCCCATATGTAGATTTCGCTCTCTCGACTCCCGGATGCCAACAAATTGTGTTGAAACGGATTGAAATCGAGCGCGTGCACCGGACCCGAATGGTTCTTGTAGGCCGAGAGCAGAGCGTTCTCATTGTTGACGAGACGTTGTGCATCGAAGATTTGTACGGTACCGTTTTCGGTCCCTCCGCAGATGATTCCGAGCGGGGCCGTCGACTGTTGGATTCCCAGAGCTCCCCAGACGATTTTGTGGAACCGGTGATCGCATTGGGTGACAACCACGGGTTTGAATTCTTTTTCGGGAGACGCGACATCGAGCGCGAGGATTTCGAGCTGCGACGATGTGCTGAATGAGGCGTCCACTTGCTGAGCTGTAGTACCAGCTGCCAAATATATTCCCGACTGGACTTCCTCTGGCGACCAACAGGAGTTTGCTGTTCGACTCAGGCTTTTCACCTTCATTGTGAGGTAGATACGGGAGGACGGAGGCGTTCAGGGCAGGGGTACCGGGTCGGCCACGGCGTCGAGGTCCTCGCACGATCTTGTCCAAGATTTTCGGAAAAGAAAGATCCCGCCAGCGCCTTGCGGTCACAGCTGGAGCAGCTCGACCGAGCCGATTCTCGGAGAAACTCCGACTGGCCAGAGAACCGGACCGAATTCTCTCCGGAAAAAAGGTTCTCGTCCGCTTTCGGTTGAGACACTCGACGAAGACAGGGAGCGACAGAATCTTCCTGCTTGAGATTTTCAACAACAGTATGGTGACGTAGCACAACCCAATGAGTGTTCGACGACGGAACGCCGGCTCGCTCGGCTCAGGGAGCAGCGCTTCTTCAAGACACGAGCCTGGGACACGAGCTCCTTTCACTTATTCTGAAAATTAGAACACACCTGAAAATATAACTATGTTACGCTTAGCGAGACACGTTCGGAAGTAAATCAAAATTCGAGTCGGAGCGACACCTATTCCGAGCGGTGTCGCGTTGCCATCAGCTGTGCGGTGACCTCACTCTCACACGGATCGTTCGGGGCAAGAACTGTTATTCACCATCTCACAGATCACCGGATTCGAACTCACCTGGTATCCGCAGAGATCATGCGGCACTACTGTAGTGAACGAAATCGCGCCAGTAGTCAGTGCCGTCGATCGTAGTGTGTCTGTAGGTGTGAGTGTGACGTTGCCACTAGTTGTTCTGCGAGAGAAAACCACGGAGTTTCGATGCGGCTTCGCGCTTAGCGAGGAGTGAGCCCTATCGAGGACAGCTGACTTTCAGCTTCCAGCCGATCAGGATAATCACCGGTCCATTCCCGAGATCCCGATCCGATGGAGAACGATTGCATCATCAGATTTCGCATTTTCTCGTGCCTCGCAAGACTCTTCCCGGTTTCGCGTGAGAATCATCGAACAACCAATGGGATTCTCGGAAAGCCGCGCGACAGAAAGAGTGTTTGTGATTAGCGATTAGCGCTTTGGGTACCCGAGTACTTCCATCTCCCGTCAGACAGGGGAAAATGGTCTGTTAAAAGACAGAAGACCTGTGATACGTAATACTCACGGAATGAAGCGGGAAGAGTTCGACGGAATAGTGTCGATAAGAATTCAAGGAAGTATCGGAACTCCATCCTCCTCTTTGCTCAAATTCCACTGCCCACCGCCGTGATGATTGAATTGACTCGAACCCTTTCACGCGAGTTCCTCACACGCTTGGAGAGCTCCCAATAGCATACCCTTTTCCCATTGCAAGTCCCAGTTCAAAAAGATGGAACAAAGAGCCTGCGCTCTAAATTTCATCCATCGAGTAGATGATGGGTCGTTAGGAGAATCACCCGAGGCGCTATTGACGCACAGATTGCGAGTCGCGCTGTTGCAGAAAAATTACTGACGTAGTCTTGTAATGAGTCTTGCACATCATTCCGGTATTTAGCATGATTCCTCGAGCAGGTCAGCCGGTCTCTGACATTGTTCGGCTCTCACAACATGGTCCTGATCATGAATGTCAATCGAGCCAAGGATTCAAGTGCGAGCTGCGCCGGACATGCGGAAGCAAACACATCAATGTGCTACATAGAGTGATCTGTTCGATTTGTTCTTAAACTTCCTCAGAAGTCGCGAGAAGAAGAGCCGGTCCGATTTGGATCAGAGCGAGCAGCGAAGAGCACAACAATGTGACGTCACGAGGCACGGTACCCGCTTGCTTCAATAAATTATTGAGCTGAATGTGCAGCTCTGGATATAACGGACATCAATTCCGGATTTAACGGACTACGATTCGCACGAGAAAAGCCGCAGAAATGCAAAAACTCGCGAAGAAAAATACCGGCCGGCATCGACGATGGCGACCACTGGCGACAAACCGGAGATAATAATCTGACTCGTCCCCACGTTCAGTGCTTCCCCGAAGCTGAGTTGATCTTATTATTCAATTCGCCGAGCATGATAATTCGATTTTCTACAGCCAGAATATTGCCTCCGTTTTCGCGCTTTGGACTTGTTCAGCGCGGATCCTATTTGTAGCGGCTATGTTTTCCATCATGGTTCTCCGTTATATACTTTGTAGCGCTCCCAGAAGCACATGGATGATGACGCGCGTCGCGGCTCTGACTGTGGGTCTTGAGTCGCGATCCTCGCTGATGAGCGTTTCTCGTGAGCTTCAGGGCGAATCTCGACCAGACGTTGCCTATACCCCATTGTGACGGACACGTGTACTTCCCGAACAGTTTTTTCGTTGCGTACAAGCAACAGCGGATCCAGATGGGGGAAGATAATGCGTGACTGCCCTCGGCTCAGAAACCCTGACCTAGAGAGCTTCTGATACTTAAGCAAGCTCAGGCGTCTTCTCTCGCTTCACGGTCTCGATTCGACAATTCCTCTCATGAGATGAGGATTTATGTATTGTCTTCTGCGAGTGTACAGCTTCCTCGAGCTCCGAATGCCATAAAGGGATTGTCTCGTTTCGATGATCTCCGCCTCGCGGGCAGGCGCAAAACAAATCCGGTCAGTCGAAAAGTAAGCCGTAGGCAGCCAGTGGTGAGTACTATCAAGATCGTGGCGAGAGGACACGGACAGGGTTTCCACTCAGCTCCTAGCCACAGTTCTCGATCAGAGCTTGTAATGCCCTAGTTATACTCGAGTTGATGCTAGATCATTCTATCGCGTTGGACAGAGGCCTCTGGGTACATACTGCTGTGTCGAACTTATGCACCGATAGCGCATGAATCATATTTTGCTCAGGCGTCCGACGAAGGCCTGCATATGCTCAGAAAATGTGGATTCATGCACGGCCAAGTATCTTCTCACCCCCTCACGGATAGCTCGTGGGGATAACTCCCGGTTTTCTCATCCTGAGGACTTCAGGAAGGGTTCTCTGGAACGGACTCCGACGACTTTCGCTTTTTCATTATAAAAATTCCCGGATTTGAAAGAGCCCTGTGCTCTGCGGTCCGAGCCCCGACAGTGTTCGGAGTTTCGGAAATAGCGCCGGCGAGGCTATAACCGCCATTCTCCCATGAGACAAATCCTGGCCTTTGTCTCTTGGAAACAGAGCAGTCCGACCCGTCCGGTGGAATCGGCAAGTTTTCCGAAGCCTGCGACTTCACCCATCCATTTCCGACTCCCTCGGCGATCTCCGAACGGCACATATCGAGACATCCCTGACGAATCTTCCCGCGCGCACCAGTCGGCGCTGTGCGCACCTCTACTCTCACCCTCAGCAGCGCTCCACCAACCACAACCAACACACACCACAACAACAAGCTAGCAGACGGCTAGCCGAAACCGACGACAGCCGCCGCCGACGACCATCATCAAAGTGTGTGTGTGATTGTAATTGTCGTCGTTGGCGTCGTCGAAAAAGACGAGTTACCGGACGACGAAGCGATACATTTCCGCCGCTCCAACTGAACTGTGTCGTTGAGTTCACGCTCGAAATTTGTGTAGATAAGACTGCAGTGGAAGAAACAGAAATGTCCGGTTATCGCGCTAACCCCGGCGGTGGTTCGTGGGTTCGGGGCAGCCAGGACTACCATTACGGAATGGCCGGGAATGCAGGAGGATACCCACCTCACCACAACCAGCAAGGATACGGACAGCAAGGACCCTACGAAGGGGGCGCCGGAGCGTACATGGGCGGCGGCGGTGGCGCCGCCGGCGGAGGTGGTTACCATCACCATCCACCTTCGGGTGGCGCCGTGGCGGAGAACCAGAAGCGGTTCACAGGAAAAATCACCAAAGTAGTGGATAACTTCGGATTCGTCGATAACGACGTCTTCTTCCAAACCGCTTGCGTCAAAGGAAAATGCCCCCGGGAAGGCGACACCGTGTACTGCGAGGCTACTTTCAACTCGAAAATGCCTTTCAAATGGACAGCAACCAGTGTCCAGCTACAGCCTGGAGACGATCATCGGAACGGCGGCGGCAAAGGACCGTCACCACCGGTCAGGGGCGGTGCTGGAAGTGGGTCCGGGGGCCCCGGGAATCGTCGAGCGTCGCCAGGCCGTCGAGCGGATCAGCAGAGAGACATGAGGAGATCTCCCCCAAGAAGGCATTCCCCCATGCGTCGGAGACAGCGTTCCAGATCGCCGATCGTTCGGAGACCTTCCCCGAAACGAGCTCTCCAAGGGAAACGGAATTCCCCCGTCAGAGATAGGTCGCCTCTGGGAGGAAAGCGTAGACAGAACAAACTGATTCTATCCCATATCGATATCGAATCCACTAGCGGCAGCGCGGCCGAGCTGAAGCGCCGTTATCCTAACTTATACATACCGTCGGACTTCTATTTTTGTCGGATACTTTGGCAGTCGTCTTTCCCAGTCTCGAATTCGCTCAACCTCGAGCTCAGTCATTGCAGCTACGCGATTTGTCCGAAGGAAAAACGCCTGCCCGGTGCGAAACCACCGATCAAAGAACCGTCGGACACCACTTACAGGTACCAAGCGAAAGTTGTTCTTTTGTCAAGTCCTCCGTTCTCTGATTTTTACGATCAGTGCTGCTCTCCGGAGCGTCCCGAGAAGTTCCTTAGACATCCCTTAGAAATGATCCAGCTGCTCGTTGGCGTGAAGGACCGAAAGTTCGAGGCTATCGGAGGACCGTGGAGCCCATCGTTGGACGGCGAAGATCCTGAAAATCCCCAGACGCTCATCAACACCGCCACCAGGACGGTGCAGTACTTGACCGGAATCGATCTTAGCGGCTGTACCAGTTGGCCGCGGATTTCCGAAATTCGGTATCTCCGTGAGAAAGATGGAAACGAGACCATCGAAAAGGTTGTGCTATTTTTCCCCGATGTCTGGCGTTGCGTACCCACACACCAAGAGTGGACTTCGATCTGCGAGGATCTTCGGAAAGAAACCGAGGAGTCCCCTGAAAGTGCGCAAACGGAAGTCGACAAGCCAGCCGACGAAGAGACGACAGCCAGCGTCCAGAACGAGGAATCACAGGAGTCCTCCGGTGAAGTCCTTCTCCCCGATGGTTCCGACCCGAAACAGATGAAGGTCGCGGATCTTCGGGTCGAGTTGGAAAAGCGAGGCTTGACGACCAAGGGAGTCAAACAGGCGCTCGCTGAACGCTTGATTGAGTTCCTTCAACAGGAGAAACAGAACCTGAAACAGGAGGAGGCAGCAGCGGCAGCAGCGGCGGCCGCTGCGGCGGCGGCACCGCCCTCGGTTAAGGCGTCCGCTGTACAGGACGAAGAGATGAAAGACGAGACCACGACCGCTTCCGAAACGGCTAAGGAAAACGCCGAGTCTACGGCTGCGGCTTCAGGCTCTGCTGCCGAGGAAAAGCAGAAGGAAGCCCTTCCGATTTTCGATCTTCCGACGAATCCCGCCATTGTCGTGCTTCCCAACCGAAAAGTTCACAGGGGCAAGTTCGATTGCCGCATCATAAGTCTGTCTCGTCTACTCGAATACAGCGAAGCGGATAATAAGGAGTTTTTGTTCGAATTAAACTTATTCTCTGAGTTCTTGAAATCTATGTTCTATCGTGACCACGCGTTTAACCTCTACAAAAGTATTCTTGAAGCTCCCGACCTCAACAAAGAGCAGGAGAACCGACTCGCCGCAAAGAAGAAGCGGGAGGAACAACGCAAGGAGGACAAGAAAGAGGAGGCTACGAAAGCCGAGCAGGACGAAATAGAAATCGAGATCAAGGACGAGGTCGACGAGGACTACGAGAAGATCTACGACGAGAAGACCGTGCGCAACCGTTCTCTTCTGCTGACGTGTCTCTACTTCGATATGAGCCACGTGGGCTACCTCACGACGAGAGAGGTCGAGGAAATCGTTCTGTCCCTCGACTTCAAGCTGTCGCGAGCTCAGGTTCGGTCCGCTCTCAAGAAGGTTGTCAACAAGGACGGCAACCTGGAGTACAAGAAACTCACAAATCGCGTTCTGAACCCCGAGGAACCACCAGAGGGTTTCGAGCATCCGAGAATTCTCTCATCGGAACAACTGGATAAGATAGTTCGAGGCAACATCGTCGGTGAGGATGACGACGACAAGTCGGCGTCGGCGGCTCCGAACGCTGCTTTCATCAATTTCGACAAGCTCAAGGAACAAGTCGAGAAAAGCGAACGGGCCAAGGTCGAAGTGGACATTGCCTTGTTGAAGACTCAGGATGAGCTCAACAAAACCAAGCATCAGAGCGAACGACTGAAGAAAGATCGCGAACGCCTCGAGGCCGACCTCGCCAAATGCAACAAAACCATAGAGAACCTGAACGAGGAGCTCCGTAACTCGAGAAGGTTCTCTAGTGACATTCGCTACACAGCGCACAATGTCAAGAACACTTTGAGGAAAACTCTGGATAATCTGGAGAAATGTCTCGAACGCGAGAAAAAGAAAGACGAGAAGAAGCCGGACGCGAAGGATTCGAAAACCGAGGGCGAGGAAGGTGGCGACATTAAGAAGGACGAGCAGCTGACCTCAGGCCAAGAGGACACATCGGACGCTATCAAACAGGAACTGACTGACGTATCCCAGGACGCTATCGAGCTCAAACAAGACGCCAGTCAGACCGCGGCGGCAGAAACGATGGAAACGCAGAGTGATACTCAGGAGAAATCCGACGATGTGGAAGCTTCGGACGAGCCCCCGAGCAAAAAATCCAAACTTAGCGCGCCGCCGAGCAAAACCAATGGAAAGACCGGCGCAAAGAAAAGGAAGAATTGAAACATTCGAAATTCACTCGACGCCCGTTCAGAGGACGCTTACCACAAGTACGGAGGAGAATCGATATCTGAGCTGGCTAGAGTTAGAAGCTTTGTCTGTCAGCCAGAAAGTATCTGTATATAGAAATTACATTATCCATTCATTGATCATTCAGCAGAGTTATGTTCCATCGTCGGAAAGACCCCTCGAAAGAATACAATGTTGTGGAGGATTCGAAGCTAAACTCTTCATCGAGCTCCTGTTATTGGCAAAGCAGAACCGAGACCGCTGATAAGATTTCCGGGCGACTGCCGACTCGCCGATGTTCATCCTCGGAAATCTCTGCATGTCCGAGACCTCGACAGCTTTTCATTTCTCTACATTGGAGCACAATAACAATGAAGAAGGGAGGACTCTGTGAGACGGCACCCTTAACCGAGAGACGATGGACGAGTCTCCCGGAGGACGATTAGAGAAACGTAAAGATACTGTACCTAATAATTCTTACAAGAGGCGGAAGAACGTTCTCTTTGACTTCGTATTGAGAGCCGCGACAGATGACATTGTCAGGTTGATAGAATAGTCATTGACGGCACGAATACCGAGACACGTTCACCACGAAAAATGGTAAGTCACGCGCTCCAACATCGGTGAAGTCAGGGACAGTGAATTGTCCGGACTGAATATTATTGGCGATGGGAAGAATAAAAGAGGATTATCATGCTAAAGACATCGAAACCGAGGTCTCTTCAATGTGTCCATCGATTGAGGGTAGAAAAGTTCGGATTTGCTCGTGGTCGCATAGCGCCTATCGATAACAATCGGCCTCGGTTGCGTTCGATGACCATATAGATCCCTGGCCTCTGCTTCCTGCGAAAGAAGCTTTCTGCTTGCGTTCTGGAGTCAGACATGTGATGCCGAAAAAGACATAGTCCGCATCTCTTGAATCCCGCCTCGAGTTTATTTGAACGGACCGAATCCTTCTCCGGGATCGCAGAATAGAATACACTAGGTAGGAATCTACAGGAAGAAATTTCATATCCATCCGCAAAGACCGCGCAACTCTCGAGGGTTCCGTCCGCTGAGGAATTTCAATTCGTTGCGAGCTGCTTCTGTTCTCCCTTTGGGGTGTTGTATGAAATTCATATCGGTGTAATATTCGAGCACAGATTCGGCTTCTTTATCAGAATATTTCTCTACGCGGATAGGCACGAAGGGCTCGAAGAATTCGAAACCCTCTTTACCCAAGAGGTACTGCGGCATGTAACTAGGAACAGTTTCCAACTCCAAGTTCCTATGTGTCAGGGATAGCGCCGGCGCGGCCACGCTGACCACCGCCGAAGCGTTCTTCCAATCGTTTTTCAGAATTTCTTTGAAGCTCTGCAGCAAATGGAAGTTTCTCGCTGGGATGAACTGTTTCTTGGGATCTTTCACATAGGAGGTCTCCCACAAGCAATTGACGCCTCCCAAAACGACCATGGTTTTAGTTTTACCCTCGTTGGTCTGCTTTTTGACTTCGTGCAGAAGGCTCCGAACACATTGGTTCGAGTGTTTCATACGATCAATGCCGTGAGCGACCAGCTTTATGAGAGGTTCTCCTTCGGCGATGACCTCTGTGTCGCTGAATTTCCATGTCGAGGTTGTTTTCAGTTGTAACTTCTCCAGGAGACGTTCGTTGATGGCACGGAAATGTTGGAGCCAGATAGCTCCCTCCACTGGCGTTTCCAGAATCGTCGGATCCTCCGCATTGGGCTGGGTATCCTTCGGACGTTTCAACCACTCCGGCACTGTAAGAGATCGACGCCGTACCGTATAGTCCATTCGGAAATCCTTTTCGGGAACATCACTCGGAGGAATACCATCGAACCGAGTTTTCGCGTCACCAAATTCATTCATAAAGCAACTCACTCCATGAATTTGCGATCACGAGCCAGCTGTTCTCCACAGCGTAATGGAGCGTATGTCCCAAAATGAAAGACTTCCCGACACCCAATTTCCCGTAAACCACCATGCGGAGTGCGGGTTGTGAATAATCATAAGACTCGATGTACTCCCGTATTTCTAGAAAGGGTTCTCTGACCATCACGCCCATTTCTCCCATGAAGGAATTCTGCAAAATGAAGGGCTAAATGACTTTCTGCGGGTCGTCGTTATCCGTCACCTTATGCTACCTGAGCGTATTAGAGGAATACCACGGGAAAAGCGCAGAGCAGAAACTCACAAGCTGTCGGCTTTGCTTGGTGTGCTGGAAAATTCCGAATAAGCTCCTTTCGATGCTTTTCGGAACCGTGTAAAACTTCGCGAGATGCTGCCTCTGGTGTTTTGACTGAAACCCAAAGCCCTCTTAGTCCGATTCTCATTCAAAAGTCTAGGATAGGAAGATATCCAACCTCACTATAGTTTCCCCCATGCTATCCAGAACTCTGAGAGGATCGAGAACTCGAGCGATTTATACGAAGCATCCTGAGACCCGGGTGAGCGACAAGCGCGAAAACATTACCGGCGAATCCACATTTGTTCTGTATGGTTTAGGGAGGTCGCTTTTCGAGCCATCGGCCTCACTGTCGGATTCTATCGCAGGCTGCGTGGAGAAGCAGCGAGATCGAAGAGGCAGGAGGGAGCCCGCTGGAAGAATCGGGTGTTATTCAGTTTCACTTCCCTCACCGGGAGCCTCATCTGGACGGGGCGTATGGGAAGAAATCGCTGAATATGAGTGTGGGATTGCACCTAAACGCGTGAATCGATCCGTTTCTTTCAAGCGCGGCCGCAACATCGGTCCGAGGGTCCGCAGAAAAATTTTCGGAAAATACTCTGAAGCTCTCTAGTTTTGCCGGGTCCGAGAAGATTCCCTCAGACGCGCATCGCAGGAGTCTGTCACACCGTATTGAGTCCCGCAGATAAACCGAGCAGCGATGTTCAGACTCGAAGCGCAGAATTCCGATTTCGTGGACTTGTCAGCGGATTAGAACATTGAGACTCGAAGGTTATGCAGAATCAACTCACAAATGCGTGCGCGAACGATGGGAGACGCCATTTTTGGCTACGCTATATCTCGGAAGCGTTACGCGCTTCGACAACTGTTCCAAGTTGCATTCAAAGAGAATCGTATCGTGTTCTGCTTGCTCCCGATATCGAAGCGATTCTTTCTCTTGTTACCATCATGTCCTGATCGATTCCGGTGCTCCGGTCGGAGGAAAAGATGCCATCGGGGAAAGACGCTCTTCCGAGATTTAGACGCGGTCTCTTCTCAGAACACCGGCGAAACAACTGATTTTCTTGAGAATGTCGTTCTCGGGAAAAGCTCTCCCTATACTGAGAAGTTTCCTCGCTGAGGAAATACTGAGACAGAGGTGAGTGGGAAAGACACGAGCTCGGAAACGATATCGCCCTGAAAAAAGTCCGAGACCTGGAATTCGAAGACGGTGACCTTTGAGAGAACCGGCTGCTTGCATTCCGTGGACTTGTTAGAGAGAGTCTCAGAGGATCCGAGGAATCGCGAGAACACTGAGCTAGACGAATTCAGCGAGCATGTCTCGACCGGGACATGGTGTGCAGTCGCCTAAAACCGATAACGAGGAAGATCCCGTAGAGAAGATGCTCGAGAGATCAGGATGCGCCAAACAAAACCTGGACTTGCAAATGTGCATGGCCGACCACGGTGATTGGAGAAAGTGTCAGCACCTCGTGAAGCAGCTCAAGGAGTGCTTCGAGAAGCACAACGAAGCTCGGACGGATCGAACATGAAGCCTGTCGAGTGCAAGTGGGCTCATGAGGATGGTCCCGAGCACGCGTCTGTCACGATCGCGCCTCACGGATCGAAGGCCGGCGGAGGGAGCCTGCGACCCAGCTCATCCTGTCCTCCTCGATTTCCTCGAAATAAATATGATCTCTCAGCCTCGATGAACGATCGCTTTCTTTCGGAAGAGAAGATTCGATGAAGCCATGATTCAACAATTGGTTCCAGATATTTCACACATTCCGGAGCTCATAATACGATTATACTTCTGCGATGAGTCCGCGTGCGAACGGAGTTCTCTAAGGATGGGTGTTTCAGGGGTTTCGTGGTGCCGAGGCGGTTCGCCGGGCATGCTCATTGGCAGAATGTTAGACACATTAAGGCGGCGAATGATGCGCACAAGTCAACAACCACAAACAGATTCGTGAGAGTGATCGAAGCAGCCGTCGTCACAGGCGGAGGACCCGATCCGAGATTCAATCCTACCCTGGCCAAGGCAATAGAGCAAGCCAAAAGGACCCAGGTAATCGATGGTGACGTTTGATCTGGTGTTAATCGCATAGAGCCCAATCATTCTCGGTACGCGAGACGTGCAGGGGAGCTGATACGGAACGTTTTTCTCTCTCATAATTGAAGGTAATCACAAAGGCGGTCATTGAGACTGCGATCAAACGAGCGTCCGACCCCTCGACGAGGAAAAACACTCAATCAGTCATCTTCGAATTCTTCGGAGAACATGGAGTTTTGGCCGTGGCGGATGCGGAAATAAGCAACATCTCGAAAATAAGACATGACTTCAAACAGGTGCGTTAAGAATTACTCTACCGGAGAATTTCTGTGCATCCCTGCTGTCGGCGACAGAGTCGCTTGACCATTGAATTTATTCGGTTGGGGTTTTCAGCGAAATCTTGGCCTCATGCGAGAAAAATCCTGCGGAGGATCAGATGGGATCAAATAACTGACTTGCATCCGTCCATTCCAGGTATGCAAGAAGCATACGTTCGCGATAGCGAAAGGCGGAGTGAAGGAGCGTTTCGAGGAGAAAGGCTACGTCATAGTCGATGGCAAACATGATGGGAGCCCTATAGATTCCGATGAACTGCTGAGCGCAGGCATTGAAGGAGGAGCCGAAGACATGCAGGAAATCATAGATAAGGAAACCAAAATTTTCGAATTCACTTGCGCTGCCGGAACGCATTTCGCCTTAACGAAAGTCCTCCAAGAGACCTACTCGATGAGCGACATGGGGAGAAAATGGGTTCCGATGATACCTCTAGAGCTTAGTGAAGAACAAGCCGAAAAGGTTGGCAAATTCTGCGACGCGCTAGAGGAACTTCCGGAAGTAAATTCCGTGTACACGAATCTGGCCTGAAACTCGCGCATCCGGCGAAAATTCACTAGGTAAGCGATAGGCATCTTCCTAGGCTCTGTTGCATTGATAAGGTTTGTATCTATTGAAGAAATAAAATGAGTTAAGTTCGCGACGTTTGGAACGAGGTTCGCTTTTTTGCCGGAGCCATGCTCCTCGGGCCGCCCCCAGCTGGGTTAGGACATCTTGATCCGACTACATCCCATTTTATTCATTCCACACGTGATCAGTAATTCTCCCATTGTCTCGTCGCGTTTAGACCATCGAGAATTTCACCGAAATAGACTGACCGGAGAGGTCTCCTTTTGAACGGTGGCCGCTGATGGGCCTCGAATTTTCTACATCCGAGTTGAACGATTTCCCTGTGGAAGAAAATCGAGGGATGTTTGAGTACACGAACGAGGAGCTCATGATCGGTGTACTTGATGATGCGGAGAAACAGTCATCGAGGTACAGAGCGATAACCGGGTGAACGTTCTAGAGACTAATGCTCTGCGGCCAGCGGATCGCTTGGGGAAATTGGCTCACCTAGGAACATGCCGGTCTTCCTCTTTTGTGAGATACGGGTTCGAAATGTAAAGAATATTCTCTTCTTCGATCGCCAATCTCTCCCACATCTTCAGTTTATGACCTGTCTTCACATCTGGTACGATGCGATGCTTTCTGGAAGGACAGAGTTTTTTCAACCTCACACTTGAGATGCCTCTGCTCACTGACTGTGATGCGACGGTCGAAAAACAAAAGCGAAAAGAATGAAGACAGTACGAGCGATTGCAAACAAGTAAAAGACGGAGTACCGCGCGATAGCCGGTATTGGCTTACCCGATATCAATCTTTCCTGGAGTGTGCTTTGTGAATCGGAAAGGTTGACCTCGTATACCCTTCTTCTTGAACACGCCAAACAAAACTTGTGTCAGACGCATCCTGGACTGAAGACTTGGAACTAGCCAAACGAGCGGCGAGTTCCAGTTTCCCCGACTCGCGAACACCCCGAAAGACGGTCGTCGTCGGCGGTAACGGGAGACCCGAGCAAAACAGAGCGGTCTCCATCTACGGGAGGGGAAAAATAGCGTGTCGTCACAGCTTGACGAGCCTTCGCTGAATTAGCCTAATAATAGATAAGAATTCCTCCGAAAGGAATCGCCCCATATACTTTCATTGCTTAGTCGGGATCCCGAGTGATAATTTATTCCGTAGCTAGCGTGAAAACTCCGCTAGCTCCGAATCAGCCGACGACTTCTTTCGCTCCCGCGCGAATCTTTGAGTCACTACGATGCCGGATTTCCAATCGCTCGCTCGAGCTAGCAAGATCTGTTCCTCGTCTCCCATCTAGATGCTAACGCGGTCCACTCGAGCAAGAATCATCCACTACCCCAGCTACCGCATTTTCCCTGCCTGAATACGGAGTAGTTGACGGGACTCGACGGCGGCGCGCGGTCAGACGAGACACAGAGACAGCAGAGCAGCAGGGCACGGCCACTATGTGAGCGGATTTGTCCCTTTCCCGGGGAAAGATTACTCCCTCGCTGTGCTCTCCCTCCTCTTTCTTTGAGCGCTGCCACCACCAAAAGCATCGTAGTATACCTATCTCAGATCCTGATGCACAGGCAGACAGATAGTTTCACTCGACTTCACTATGTGAACCGAAAGAGATCAGTGAAAAGCAGCGACAACTGTGCTTCACCCTGAGGATAATATTTCGACGGGCTACACATTAGCGAATATGAAGACTCTTCTGGCACTGATGGGGGTTGTCGTGTTCCCCGGCGCGATGGCTTCTCTCGGTGACGATCCAGCTGATGAGGATGTACTCATCGGTTTCGGTGGAACAGTCATCGGTTGTGTGGTGCTCACCATGACGGCTTTCCTACTCACAGTAGGAGGCTGTCTCTGTTGCTCAGAGGAGCGACTCAAGGTATGAAGTTTTCAAAGAGAGCAGTTCACCGCGAGGACGACGCGCGAGCTACGACTCAGCTACGCTCTTCGTCGACTCGGTCCCGTTGTGAGCGTGAGAGGCAGGGTGCATGCGCGGAGTCACCGGTACTCCGCTTGGAGACAGAACGCGTAGGAAGGATAGAGAATTTGCCGAAATTCGCGAGCACTCTTCAGGTTTCCGTTAATAGGAGCCCATAGGACTGGGAGACCCGTCATTTTCATGACGTTCGATGTACAGATGGTTCCAGTACAGCGGACCAAGCTATACATAGATGCTTATTTCACGCTCAGCGATCGCCTGTGCGAAGCGCTCGACAACAGCTGACTGCTCGGACTGAATTCACGGATAGAGAGAAATAGAACTCAAGAAGGAACGTATCGAGAAGTCGTTCGAGCCCCGTTCGCAAGTTCTTGAAGGTGGAAATTTAATTATCTGGGGAACTGTATTGTCTCCTCCCGAAGTCCGAATTCGAATGAATTCGAATTCGCTTTCCTTGCGATCGGTTTTATCGTGAATCCGGGAACGATGACAGACAATGATCGATCGAGTGATTTACAACGTCCCAAACTCCTTCCGTGATGGAAACGACTCCGGAGAGAAGGAGAGTGAGCTTATTCCCTCCGAAACCGGCGTCTCGATCATGATCTGGTCAAGGTTACAGCTCTCTGACCAGCATCACAGCTGCCACCGATAAATGTAGACGCTGCGAGCATAATGTACCCTTGCGTGTTCCGATATTCCACTGCTCGACCAGCTGAGCGATCGGGCTGTTTTGAAGTTGAGTCAAATCCTCCGTTGGGACACATTCGCTCCGAATGAAAGCTTCCTGTTTCCCCTAGTTTTTCCATCTTTTTTCATCGCTCTACTCTTCGAAAAACTCAGAGAGGAGACTTTCACTTTGAGTCGGTGTCCCTTCTCCTTATGTAGTCGGCTTATCCCTTCACGTTGCTTGTCTTCAGTGACGCGTCGAGCAGTGTTCCTATCGGAGGCTTTTTTATGTGATTTTTTCCTTCTGTTTCCTCAGGCAAACGACTGCGAAGGCATTGCCAATCTTCTGCGCTCTTCTTAATTGGTGCCGAAGGTGTGGGTTTGCACGAAAAAGTTCAGACAGCGGCACAGGTTCTCCTAATTCCAAAACAGCCGTCCCGTTACCCAGCGTGTGGGCGGGCGAATAACTGTCCGAAGCGATGGATGGTAGTCGGACTGCCTTCTCGGCTTGCTGAGCTGAAGCTGCCGTGAGACTTTCTGGAGCTACACCGCTTCGAATCATCAGCGGGTGAAGCGCTCTGGTTTTCGGATTTTTTTCCAACCTTCCTCTTCTCTGAGCACGGAATTACTGGGAACCGATCGCCTTCTGCCTTCCTCTTCCCGTGGAAGTCGATCGTTCCTTGCTCCTAGCCGCTTTCCTTTGGCGTCACCGCCAGAACGGTGCGCACACACGGACTACGCTGCCCGACTCTTCGCGGATGATGTCTGGGAACATTCTTGACGTTTCCTGTCTTTGCACGAGGAATATCGAGGATGACGATTAGATCTTGAAATTTTGACCTTGGTCCCCCCTTCCGGTGTTCTACTCGCGATTTTGTCAAGGTCATACGGATCGGCTCGATGTCCTCCCCAGCAGTGAGAGAGTCCCGCTGAATACCGTTATGTTTATGGCGTCTGTCGGCGTTTCTCGCAAATGTGCCTCTCATTACCATGCTGAAGTGTGACGGTCCGGGACTGGCAACATCTCGACAAAACCGCTGTCCGGTAATTTTTTTCCCTCGAGAGCGTGTCGTACGAGCTCCCTGTCACACGCCACGTCGGAACTGCGTATCCATGCATTTCACTGGATGGCTCCCATCCAGAGAGATTTGAGTGGGAACACAACTCCACACGAATCCTTGGCCCGGAGCAGGTACGCAGAGGGTTGCGCTTCGACAGAACTCGCAGGCAAAGTTCTCCAGGCAGGAACGGGATCGGTGTCTTTCTGTTTTCATGGTCCAATTAATCATTCGATAGCGTAGTGAATGTCACACGGATTGCCCCTCCTCACTGTGCCCAGACAGTGCTGTTGTCTGCGAAGCGAAACGGACAGTCATGCTTCAGTTGAAGGGGTTGGGGGAGGCAGAGCGGGTGATCGTCGTCCGGGCGAGGTCATCCCTATCACGGGACGATGTGGGCCTAGCAAAACTCTTACGAAGCGACTTGGGCAACGTCAGATGACTGATCGTGAATGGCGTGGGCTTTGTTTATTTTTTTCCGTCCATCAGTTTTTGTAGATCTCCGGGCTATCCTTGATGGAGGATTCGTCTATTTGCTCGCCACGATCTTTCGGAATCCCGACCTTTACTGCAGGTGGGCGTCGGATCCCGGGGCGAAGTTCGAAGTATCGGTCGTCGATACCCGGTAGTGCGCGATACTTCATCCCTCCGAAAAACAGACTTTTGTGGATCCACAAATGGATCCATTCGAGCGTTCGTTCGCCCGTACGTTCATTCCGCCGTGATACCAGGAGGTCTTGCTCTCGGAACCATCCTCGATGTTCCGATGCGGATCCGGAGAGGCTCACGCATGCCCTTGATACCGTCGCGGATATTTGCGACGGAGTCTGAAACCCGGTCCGGAGCAAACTCCCAACCCGACTTTTCGGCAAACTGCAACTGAGGAATTCCCATGCCTCTCCGCTGCCTAGAAAAAAAACCCGTCTCTCTTCATACGTTGACGCTCAATTTGCTTGCAAGGGGCCGGTATACGGCTGTCTGGCGGTTGTAAAGCGTGTTCGGGGCGAGGGCTGACTCTGTTCGTCTTCCGTCCGAGGGTGCTTTAGCAAGCCTGCTGAGAGCCTGATGTCTCATACGCCTACGCGATGCGCTCTCAGTTCCCGCTCGTAGATTTTTTTATCGAAGTAGGTACAACGATGAGCTTTCGGAACGATCCGAAAGTTGAGACCGGAGCTTAAATCCCCGCGACGCCCGCCTCGCCCTCCGTTTCGAAGAACATGGATTCGGAGATGTTCGAATAGCTTCATTCGAAAATTGGAATGTTGCGCTTCCCTTCGCATGGAGCTCAGGCAAACCACTCCTGTCGCCTCGTTAGATGTTAATGAACCGCACCGGTCCATGATTCCAGTCGCGACATTGCGGCAGCTGCTAGTGCTAATTAGATTCAAACCTGAAGGCGGCTCGGAGGCGACTCTGATGCCTAGACCCGGAGAGGTCCCCTCATCAGAGCCTGGGAGGGAACCCATCGGTGACCACTGACCACCAAGACTATCTGGCGCTTTCTGGTGCGGATGCCTGTTTGATCTGACCTGAGAAACGTCTAGCGATTTGGCCTTTTCAGCGGCTCTTCCTCGGGATAAAGAGGGAGGAACAAAATGAGACCCGCTAAATAATTCATCCGGCCCTTCAGGACAAAATCAGGCACTTTCTTTCCTGGTCGAGTCTTGAGGGACCTGGACGAGGCATGCAGTGAAGGACTGAAACCGTATCCTACGGACTAGCATTCGAAGAGTCTCTTCAGCGATTCCCGAGAGTTCTCTCGGGGGTCAGGGTGACCGAGCGCGGCAGCTTTCCCACACGAGGTATAATATCGGTCGCGAAGGAAGTTCAACGTATGGAACCTAATTTTATCACCTGCTACATATCGATACAAAACAGAAGGTGGCTCCGGTGTCGCGAGTTCACTGCGCCTCAGTGACGTGCATCGAACCATTTCCGTACGAGAGGGAGGAATTGAAAGACAAAAATCATCGTTTCTCGTCTCGTTCATCATCTTTTCGAGAAGGTGAAATTGAAGAGCTCGTTTCACGTTCCTGCCGCTCTGAAGATTTTCGAATCGACGATAAGGCAGAAGAAGAAGCTTCGCGTGGTTCTGGTGATTTAGCGGTGTCGCTATTTCAGCGGTAAAGTTCCCGGCAGGAGCGTTTGTCAGCAATTGGCTCTTTAGGACGGTTCGATCCACGATCTACCCTCCGCTTTGACTTCCGTCTTGTTACATAGCGCGGTGATCAAATGCCTAGCCGTGTTCATAGGACTCCGGCACGGGGGAAAAAACGCGATTCTATCGGTACAAGGATTTCATTCATCAAATCCCGCTCCAATGAACTTCGGAACTTTCCGAGATTCGTTCCAAGTTAGCTTTTGCTCAGCTGTGGAGAAATCTCCGATTCGGTTCCAGGTCATCTATTATGGTCACGTCATTTCGTAAGCCTGGAAAGTATCAAATTGGGGGGAGTCAGAATTGTCCATGTTGTTCCCGGGCATCTTCACTGGAGCGTCACTTGAATATTACGGGTATTCTGCTTGAAATTCGTCTTTTCCGCGAAATTCTCGGTGGTTCGCAACCGTTTCTCGACCGCTGGTTCGTGCGACGACGACTCTGTCGTGTTGCGTCTTGGACAAGATACTCCTTCGCGGTTTGGCAACCTTCAATTCGAGATTTCGAAATTTGCAAGAACATAAGGTATCAGATTCACGGCTCCTTCATCGGAGCGCGAACATGCCTACTGATCTGCTCAAGGCAATAGATTTCTGTATATAGAGCTCTATAAGATACGATTGCCGTATATGTAGTCATATTGAGTCTCGATTAGCATGGATCACTTTTGGCGGAATCCCTCAAGGGCCCGCGTCTCGTCGCGGGCGATCGTCCCATGCGATATGAACATCTTCTGCCCTAACATCGGAGCGCCATTCAACGTTCAAATCCTACATTCTGTAGAATCCCACGACTAGGAGTTCTGCAGGCCGTCCCTAACCTCTTGAACGCATGCCTCCTCGGCCCTCTCGGAAAAACGTATTCGGTGCCTAGCGAATCAGGTCGCTTGACCTAGTACACAAAAAAGGAACGTGCTTGGATTCGGAGTTTTCAGACAACCGGGAGAGCTCGAGGCTCTGTGGACTTTCGAGGGGAAAAGATCCTCTTCCACGTGCCTCCCCATCTTCCTTTCTCCACGGGTACAGCCATCGGCTGAATATCTAGCTAGTTCCTGAGCCGGACCTCTTCGTGATGCGGGGCCGTTTAGGAATCGGGTTCCTAGAACCTCCGAGCCGATTGCCCGTCCAATGTGACTCAAGAGAAGTTCTCTGACACGCTGTTGTCGGCCTGTCGAAAGAGTTGCGATAGGTCGGGGGATGATCAAGAGTTTGTTCACGTGACCACAAGTTTGTCGAAAGCGATCCAAGGGAGCCCACGCGAAAGAACCGACGGATGTCCCAGGGCTCCTGCCGGTTCGGATCCGAGGGCCCGCTCCTTCCTACGGGGAACAGGGAGCGACAGGCAGCATGAGCTATGCCATGCTACGCCGATGCTCGAGCATCCCGGGCTTTCAACGTATATGCCATTCGCTCATTAGCTGCCCGCTCTGCTCCCTCCCAATGGCTCCATCTCCGTCGCAAATCTCGCGAGTGCGATAATCTAGCATCTATACGATTGTGTCAGAAAATATTGGCAGTTCGGCCTCACATTTTGACGTGCGAGGTCCTTCGGCCTGACGTCGTTGAGGAGCAAGCGTAGCTTTCTGTTCGAACGACGATAAATACTCCATCAAAGTGTCACTTCGCAAATTGAGAATCATGTAGTCCGTTGGGTCGAATAAGTCGTGTTCGGCGCCAGATGTCGTGTCGCTGCCGTCTGATTGCCCGTTTCGGGCGACCCCACGCAGCGGACTCCGCGATTCGCTGCAGAAGCGCTACGGCACCCTTCTCACCAACGCCCGGCGAGCGCTCAGTCAAGAAGTCCGCGTAATTCCATGTTCTTCCCGGGAGAAAATCCATCGTGAATTCCATATGATTCCGGTCACACATGGTGTTTATTCCGTGTGAGAAACGTTCCGGCAGGGATCAATATCCATCATTGGTGGAACGCTAGCCGATCGGGTACTGGTCGAGTCGACGCGACGGCCACCCGAGAATGAATCCCTTGACCGTGAGTAATCGCACTCGCGGATATCCGACATCCGAGAAGACCCGAAGCTCCGTCGAGTTGATTCTCGTCTGGCGAAGCACAGGTCGCTCGTCTTGCAAAAAGCAGCTTCGGGCGCCACAAAGCGGCTCACGTACACGCCGGACTTCCGAACGCATCTTCGTGTTTTCCCCCTCGGCGATTTCTGTTAGCGAGCAGGAACGAAAATCCCCGCTGTTTTCCCATTCTCTGTTCCTTGAAAAAGGCAGTCTCTTCTTAACGACAAATTTTATGAGCTCTTAGATGGTTAACAAGGTCCAAGGTTACCGAGAGCGAGCGCGGGCATCCGCGCGACGTGTTCAAAAGACTTCGCGCCACATTGACTGCTCAGCTAATCCGCAGGATTCTGAGCGTATCCAACCGATGGGGGTTATGGGTTTCCGGGAGCTGCTCGTCATTCGTGAGGGGGATTCCGGAAATAATCAATTAAATTCCTCAGAACGGTCAACTCCCATTGCGCTTTCTCTAACATGTCTCTTCTTTATCGATTCCAGCGCCTTTTCGGCACGAAGAAGCGTCTTGTGGTAGACGCTAGCCCCGCATACGAGGCCCAGAGCACGACTCCGTCCGAACTGACCCTTTTCCCGAATACGCCACCCCTGTCCCTCAACGCGGGCGGGCTCTGCGGTGATCACGAGGTCACTTTCGAACCGCTGCCTAAGATCTACTCCCGTCCACAAGGTCAATCCAAGAGACCTCGCGACGTCGAACGCGTCAAACTGGATCAAGCTCAGATTCTGAAACCAGCTTACTTCGAACAACGACTGGACCGAAACTCCAAGAGATGCGACTGGTTCGGTAAGTGAAAATTTGGAATAATGGGGATGATCGATAGAATACCGTGAGAATTTGATGTGAAAATTCACTACGAGATAATGGGCGTGAAGGCGGAAAGTCAACGGAAATGCTCCTACGGGTAAGACGTTTCCCTGCCGATTCCAATTTTCGGTCTAGAACGCTGCTCACCGATGAGTGTTCTCACGCGTTCGAAGTACCTACGTAGATATTCGACGAGAAGGCTCTGGCTCGCCGATTTCTACGAATCTTGAAAGAAATTCAGTCCGACTCTGACTGGGCTGAAACCACGAATGGATGCTCGCTGTGAAAACAGCGGTTGACGCATCGGAGCAGAAAGCACAAGCCATAAAATGCTTTATCCTTTTAAGAATTACCAACTTTCCCGATTCGTCGCTTGCTCCAACGATAATCGTTTGCGGGGCAGAATGAAAGTTCGGCGTCCGCCGACGACTCCGCGATCTCGGAATCGAGGCGCTGTTCCGTTCCAGCGAGGGGTTAGAATTCGGCTCGGAAAACAGAGATAGAGAAGCGGTTCCGAGGTCAGATACTCGCTGCACTGGAGGCAGCAGAAACTCATTTTCCGAGTGTCTGCGGAAGCGATCCACGCAACTTGGAGGGATGCGACTCAAATCGATCCGCGTTTCGCACCGTCTCCGTATCTGATCGCATGCAGTGCCATCAACATTCGGTCCTTCACCGATTCGACAGTCGAAAAAGCTCTCGCGTTGAACGATTGAGATTCTCGACTCGGGCGCGTCATCTAGGTATCGACTTCTTCGAGATTCATCGCTCACCGAGAGATCGCGACAAAAAAGTCGGCTCGCTATGCGTGCTCATATCCTCTGATCAGTGTCGGATCCAGCTGAACCGGCGTTCGAGGGCAAACCGACGGGAATCTCGCCCGCGTTCAGAGGGACGGGGTGCCGAGACGAATCCAAAATCGCGCCTCTTGGAGCTCCTCATCTCTCTCTAGGAATCGTCCTTTTTCGGTGTGATCGAGCGAATCTCCGTCCCTCGGAGCCTTGCCCGGGGACACCCGGGTTCCCACCCCTCTCCCTCGCCTAGATCAATCAGAGCCTGCGATATTTCGGCTACATCGATTGAGCTGCTGAATTTCTCGCGAAGGAAACCCTCACTCGCGGACTACAGCGTCGAGCATTCTGACAGCAGCGGAATCGAGGGGAAGGACTTCACGAGTTGGTCCAAGAAAATATGTCCGAACGATAGGGAAACATGCTCCCTGCGGGACCTACATCCCCGCTTCCTCCAGTTTGACAACGAGGCCTAGAGGCCAAAGTCCGGAGGGTGTATTCTCTGCACTCTCTTTTTGATGAGAATGTAGGAATAATAAATTTCAGTCTGCGGGCTGACAAGCTGTCACGGGAGAATGCCACCAACCTCACTCGAGAGGAAGCCAGCGCGAGCTCTCTTTTTTAATCTTTCTCGCATATCGAGTATTTCTGGCCTTCAACGTATTTTGATAGCTAATCACTGTTACTGGCCGATCACTTCGCTACATATCGTCCTCACGGGTCGATCCATCGAATCATGGGGCTTGCGCTCGCGCCAAAAGGAGGCGACCCGACTTGTGAGCGCAGAAACATTTCCGGGTAAATTGAATCAGAGTGAATTTAATTCTAATTAATGGGAGGTCTATCAGGCAAATACGCGAAGGGCTGACTGGGATGGTTCGATTGGGCTCTGAATGCAGGTCTTCCCGGTCGAAAAGATGTCAAATGCCAATCAGCGACAGCGAGCGTCGTCAACGTCGGTTCGAAACTTCTTCTGCCAGGTTCTGGTCAACGGCGTCTTTTCGCTGAGCGGGAAGACCTTATCCCCGCGACAGCGCAGCGTCGGAGAAAGCGTCACTCAGCAGAAGAAAATGGCGACCCGACACATTCTAGCACTAACTGACCGTTTGGTGAACGACCGCCTGACAGCCGACGACGACCGGCGTTGTCTGTCGTTGCCGCCGCGCCGTGGTTGTCTTCACCGAGAAATGACAGCTTGATTCACTTAACGGGAGTTATTGCCTTACGTTGCCGGTCCAGTATCTTGTCACAGACGTCACGGCGACCCGCCGAGGTGGAGTCGGTGACGTCGCTGCGTTTCGAAGTGCAAATGACAGCTGAAAGGAAACGGCGGCGATCCGAAGATCGTGCATCGGCGGGAGTAACCCGGGCGGGCGCGCGTATCGGGTGCTCTGTTCCTGATTCGGATGTCTCGTTCGCAGCAAAATCGACTAATGTGTCGCCCATGAAATATTCCCACGAGAGGGGAGGACTTTTCTGCTCATCGAGCATCGTAGATATGAAATGTCGCCAGAAAGAAATTCCCGACTGCGGCTTCGGTGCTGGAAGACCTCGATCGAAGACGGGCCGAGCAAGGGTGACGTTTGCCTTTGTTCTTCGCTACCCGAAAACTGCTGCTCACTGTGAGTGAAACGGGGGAAGTTTTCCGTTCAAGAGCTCCGGAGCTGAGAGAAAATTTCGAATGCTCGCTTGTTTCCCTGTCGCTCAGGACGTCGATGCCTAAGGGAATATTTCCAGTGGAGCAGCCGGACGGCATTTCCTGCGCGACGCGTCGAAAACGACACCGTTCAAGCTGAGAGCCTCCGAAGCTTGTTTCGAAACGTAACAACGAGGAAGGAAGAAAAGAACACAGGGAGGGGAGAGTAAGGAAGGAAGCAAGCGAGCGGCACTTTGAAGTTCCACTGACTGAGTCCGATCGGGAGCTTCCACTATTCGTGAGCTCGCTAGCTGACGTAATGTCCCGACAAAAGCGTCCGACGACGATGCCCCACCCGTTTTTTTCGTCCTTTTGTATCACAAGCTTAGCGAAAACATATCCATGTCTCTGATGCGATACTTCAATCACCCAACGCCTAGACACGCGGGAACGAATTAGGGGACTGAAAATGAGAAAGAATGCGGTCGTCTCATTTCACAATTCGGTGGGAGGTTCTGCACAGGGCTTTCGGGACGACCCGCGAGAATTCACCCCGTGCTTCGGCGAGGAAACTGTTGCATCAATCTGGGCGATCTCGACTCCGAATCCCTCGGAATGAGCAATTGAGTGGGGCCTTCGGAGAAACTTTGGAGCTGCATCAATCCGCGGCTGGGTTCCGGGGAAGCACCTTCCCGAGGCGGAGCGGGAAGGCTAAGCATCGTTAATTTCTCGCTCTCGCGCTCCTGGAGCGGAAACTTGACTGGAGTCCTGGCGCTTGCCATGGCTCAGTCTAGAACGCTAGTTGGCAGATGAGCTATATCTCAGTCAGTGGCAAGTTGAATTACCGAAGCCCGGCCCTCAGACAGCGGCGGCAGCGACTGCGGTACGGCGCGATGGGCAGGAAGACTTCACGAGTCGACCAGCTGATTAATGAACGCATGAGAAGTAGCTCCCCCATGTTCCGGATCTGGAAATTCGGGCTGGGAGGAGGGAGGGAGAACTTGTCCGGAGAATCTTCACTCCTGATCCCGTTGCATTCTCCATCAGCCGATCAGCCGGCTGTAACGGCTCAGTAACCGACAGAGGAAAACCCTTCTCGGCCCGGGATCGTGTTTTCGATAAGCGGAATTCACATAGATATCTATCAGATGCGGATGTGGAAGGATGTCGGCGGGAACAACACCGCGACTTGACACCACTATCCGGCACCGGTATTGTCCCGGTGCGAAGAGTTCTGTCTCGCGTCTTCGATCTGCGACGTCAAGTCATCATGGGCTTTCCATCTACCGATCCAAGCGGTCCCAATCGTTTGTTCCACCACGACCCGAAACGAAAAGCTGGGAAGCGATTCATGGACGAGCGGCAGAAGGAAGAAGAGCATCTCACTCTAGCAGAAACTGTTTCAATGCGACTGAAGTCGGCGAAAACGAAGTCCGTTCTGCGTTTGGCGGCCACGGCTTCTGTTTTCCATGAGCGCTCTGTTTTAGCCACCGCTTCTGACCGACCAACGCTTCAAGACGCTTCGCCGAACGGGGGCGGTCGGCGTCACGCATTCATGTCGATCCACTCAAGTAATTTTTTGGGTGTACGTGACGTAATTTTCTGCTGCTCCCTCAGTCTTGTTGGCCTACCTACTCATGAACAGCCCGCCGCTGCTCTATTTGTTCGCTGGTTTGTTGTGGGTGCGCTGCGTCTTTCTTGTTGTCTCACTGCGACCCCTCGCTGCGATCCGAAGGTGCCAGGCTGTCTTTTTGATCAGAAACGTCGTTGCTGCCTTTGTCTGACAGGCGGATGAGTGCAGTGTGCGGCACGGCTCACGTGGCGTGCTGCAACTCATCAAGCAGCGACGCGAAGTTGCTCCGGCCGGATCAGAGACCTTCGATATGTACATATGTCGGATGCTTGACAGAATAAAGTTGAGGTGATAGCCAATCCCTTAAACGCAGGTGGGATAGCGATGCCTAGCCTCACAAGATGCTGCCGAGGAATTAGCGCGCCGGTCTCTCGGAGAGAAGGCCCAAATTTCAGCTAGAATCTGCCTCTCCTGCGGATCGACTATGGAGAAACTGCACTCCGATGTTTTATGAGAAAATGTTCACCCCCCCCGGCTGATACGTCTCGGCGAGGATCTTGTCCTCGTCTGCCAAGCGACCCCTAGAAGTCTATGAAGATCCTCGATACCTGAGCCAGCAATCGGATTAATGCTCTGAGTTTCCCGGGACGATGGCTAGCAACTGCTCGACGGCTTTTGAAAAATCCAGCCGACGATTCTAGTCGAAGGGCGTGGCTCTTCCTCGACTGATTTTGGTAGAGGTTCGAGTCTGCTCCAGGAGACGCCGCTGGAACCTTTCTGAAGCCCGATCGAAGTTCGACGAAAGTCTAGAGGATAGCGTCGTGGCGGCGGGATCTTTTCCATGGTACAGCGTCGGACAGAGGTTCCACGAACAAAAAGCGAAATCGCTGACAGTTCCATTGTCAGGCTTGAAAAGGGACACGTATAACGGTCAATCGACAAAATTCAGCCCAGCTCGCCATGAGCGGGACTCCGTGTC